GAAAATGAAGGCTAATCATGTTTTGGGTTTACTATTCCTTTAAGCTTTCCAAATCCAAATAAGCTTTTTATTTAGACTGTTGATAAAATAATGATGTATGACTTCTCTTTTTCTCCAAGATCATGGCCTTACAGCAGTAGCAACAGCAGAGAAAGCTGTCTTAGCTTCACAAGACATTGTGGGTCATGCTGAACTCACGGTCCTGATGCCACATTCTGTCGCTACAATTCTTTAGGAACAAAGAACTAGTCATTTCTCTGCGGCTCGATGGCTGAAATACATCTCTGTTTTGTTTGACATGTTAAATGTCAGGGTTAAAAGTTGTACTGTGTTAAACCCAGCCCCCCTTCTTCCTACTGAGGAGGATTGTGAAGCTCAAAATTATGTAGCTTTGCTAGATGAAGTTTGCACCCCTAGGCCTGACTTGTCTGATGTGCCTTTGGAAAATCCAAAGTTTGTATTATTGTTTGTTGGTGGATCACTTCTCACAACCCTAAAACTGGTGCTATTAAGGTTAGATGTGCTTTTTGTTCTCTTCATGAAACTCATGTTTCAGCTTCTTTGCCAAAACCTTTGCAGTTCAAATTGCTTTAACAGAAGTCTTCAAGTTGGCTGAAGGAAAAAGTCTTTATACTCACTCTAGATATGCTTTGACCTTTTTTTGCTTAAAGATTTTACAAGGCCTGCATGATTTGTGCTACTCTCAATCCAGGGAGAGCCACACAGCTGACTCCAGCTGGTCATCTGCCTCCCAGAGAACCTTTCAATTATTTAATGATGGGCTTTATTGAACTAACTCCATCTGAGGGCAAGAAGTATGTCCTAGTTGTGGTTGACATGTTTAGTAAATGGATTGAAGCAATAGCTTCTAAAGCTCTTTTAATAGAAGTAATTCCTCGTTGGGGAATTCCGTGGAGAAATTCAAGTGAAATTTGGTGCATTTTTGGTTTCTCCATTCCTTTGTTCCGGGGTACTGGATTGTCCTTAGGGATTTCCGAAGGAAGCACACATACATAACATAACAACTACAAATACATAACAACTTTAAATTCACAACAGGAAAATTTTGTATTCTGAAAATGTTTTTTGCTTAATTCATGGTAAAGCTTTGTAAACTGTGAAACAAAATTATTATCTTAATTTTACTAAAATTATATGTGAGTTTAATTGAATCTATTTGTTAAAACAAAAAATGGTGTTAAACCACACAGGGATTTTGTAAGACCTATAACAAAATAATTCTGTTATTAAGACACTCATAAATGAAAAACTATAGCTTTTGTCAGTTGATTTGAAAAAAACAAACAAACCTAAATGTCAGCTGAAACCTAAAAAAACAATATATATATATATATATATATATATATATATATATATATATATATATATATATATATATATATATATATATATATATATATATATATATATATATATATATATATATATTCAATATTTTATTGCAGAGTTGCCTGTTTTTTGATACATTAAATACCAAATTCTGACAACATTATTTATAGATCTGTTTTGTCCTGAACATAATACTTGCTATAGTCTTTTAATGTTAAATCTACTGTCTTCTTTTTAAATTGTTTTTTTTTTAATTTTTAGAAAAATTTAGAAAAAAAGTAACTTTTAAGCATTGTGTCAATACCGTAGAAAAACAAAGAAAAAAGATTACATGACAGTGCCTCCAATAACCACAAACTTTTACCATTACTACTAATGAGTAAGGACTGATTTACATTGGATAATGCAGTGATGGCGAGAGGAGAACAAGCTGCCTTCATGTTCACTGCTGCAGCTGACTTCAAGAACGAGCATGGAGAGCTGAAGAGCATATGAAATATTTTTTATTTTTATTTTTGACAAGTCTGTGATTTTTGCACAATCAGTTTTGGGTCTGAGTGTTTTTTTGTTTTTGTTTTTTTGAGTTTTTAGAGTACTAGTGGCTCGTTTTTTTTTGACAGTAGGCTGTCAGGAAAGGGGGTATGAGAGAGGAGGAGAGACATGCGGCAAATGACCAAAGGTCGCATTCGAACTTGCACGCCAACCACTGCATCACTGCACGACCCGGGTCTATGACTCTTTAATCAGAAAATTAACGCTTGCATGGTAAGTTTCATTCAATTTCTTTTTTTAGACCTACAGAATATATCTGCCTAACGCACGTGTTCAAAGCTAGTTCCAGTTAATTTTGAAAATTTCTAGATCGATGTATGACAGTTCATTTTAACTGAAAATCAGAGAGACACACTTAGTTTTCTAACAATAATCAGCTGTGTCTTTTTTGTAAAAAGAAATTTGACACATTAAGGGGTTATGTTCTACATTGCAGATTGCAGAGGAATGAGCCTCGTCTATTTAAGTGCGTTGGTGCCAACTGTAGTCAAACATTTACAACTTACTCTGCTTTCAAAGGCAATTTTATCATGTGCACAATGCACCTACTCCTCATGCTACAGCAGTTGTTGCCAATTGCATTATGTACCCACCATATGCACACAGTGAAAGAACTAGTGTCTCACTTAAATGATCATATCGGGGAAGGTAAGTCATACCCAGTAAGGGGTTGTAAACATATCTTTACAAAATAGTCATCATTTACTTCTCCCAAATGTCGGAAGCATAAACCATGCTCCGCTGATTGTGTTGACTACATGAACAGGGAAACTCAGCCTCTACCATCAAATATGATCAGCATTACAGACAATCCAGAAAATACACATGATCTGCAGAGAGTAGCTTGTGGATCTATTGATATAATATAAAATGATAGTGAATCATATCTCAGAAATGCCTATCTTTTTTAATTTTAATCTGCAAGGACAGCTGCTTATTCCTGGTTCTACTATACAAATCATTGTAGAGTAAATGCAAAATATTCATGAGTTGGGTAAAACCTACACAATAACAAAGGTATGTACCTTATTAAAAAACATAAGCCTGTCAGAGAAAGCTGTTAATCAAATCTGTGACGTTATTAAATACTCAGATTTGTTCCCTTCCTGTCACCAGGAACGGTTAAAAACAACATATTCCAGAAACAAGACATTCACAAAAATGTTTACATATAGAGAACCCCAAAAAATGGCCTTGGATCGGATGAAAACATGACACAAAGATTAAGATGTGTTTACTACATATCTGTTGCACAAACTTTTTACAGTCAACTCTATGAAAGAATATAAAGTCACAAAAGTGCGGCAATGCTGACACAGAGGTTTTTATAGATTTTTATTTTGGAAAGATTTTTTAAATATCACAATTTTTTATGAAAACCCTCAAAGCCTGAAACTGATTTTGTACCAAAACTCATTCGAAATTGTGAATTCATTGGGTTCTGCTAAGAGGACACACAATGTTCTTGCAGTCTATCTTTCAGCAGCAAACAATGATAACATGTTTTGAGTATCGTGTATTGATAATTACCTAAATTGCTTTGGAATGAGCAAAGTTTTTTTCAGAGTTGTTGACAGATCTTTAGCTTTGGAAACAGATGGAATAAATGTAGATGGAGAAACTTTAAAAGGAAGCTTGCACTGCATTGCTGGGGGGATACCTTGGGTTCCCATTGCATAGTGGGTTTTACAGTGAACTTCAGTCACTCTCAATATTTCTGCAGGTAGTGTGAAATCACAAGAAGTAAGTCTGAGGCTAATCCAATTGATTGCAGTCCTCCACGCACCCATGCTTCTACTATGATGAGAAGATGGAGTCCATCTTCTTCTATGTAGAGGACACAAGTCTGGCAGAAGACGTCTGACTGTAACAAGGTGCTTTGACCCCAGCCATTATTGGCTGTGGTAAGCCTGTTCCTAATCTATTGTATCAAATTGTGCTACTAATGGAATTTGTTCAGTCAGAATAACACTAATATACCCTGTTCCATAATTTTTTCATTAGATAGTCATGCTAGTCCTCAACAACATACATGCTAAATCTGGATCGGCCCCTTGTCAACATAAACATCTATTCACTTCTGCACTGAGCGTAATGTTTGTGAGCTAATAGTGCTTTAACATCCATTATCCATCTGGGCTGGCTTTAACCCTGGAATTTCTTCAAAGGTGAGTGAATATAGCATACTTTCAATATGTAATTCCGTACAATAGTTTAAATTCATAAATGAAAATGCTTATTATGGCCTTTTTTTGTTTGTTTGTATTTAACAGGTGCTTTTTCTTGACAAACCTTGAGAATGGAACTAAAGTGGGAAAAAAAGTCAAAGCATCTCCTTAGCGTGAACCAACAGGTCCGCGCCCTGATATAAGAACTCTGTGATCACGAGTCGTGTGGACCTTGTTGAAGAACTTTTTCTGTAGACTCCGTTCATAAGAGGTATTACAAGTTATTGCATTGAGGACTGTTTCTGGAAAAAGTTACTGCAAGTTGTTGGTTTGTGCACTGTTGTAGAGGAAAATATTACTGCTTTGTGGACTGTTATAGGGGGAAAAGAAATGGGAGGTTATTGCATTGTGGACTGTTTTTGAACAAAAGGTAATGTAAGTGGTTTTTTGTGGACTGTTTTGGGGGAGAAAGTTACGGTTATTTGTTGCCTGGTTATTTTTGTTGGACTGTTTTGTGAAAAGGAAAAATAAGTAATCCAAGCTGTTTTATGGACTGTTGCCTAATATTTGCCTGTAAATGCTGTTATTGATGCAGTAGAAACCTTTATGCCATGTAAAAATACAGGAAAGAGTTTTTTTTATATATATATATATAACACTGTTATACAAAATTAACATTTCAATTTTGTAGAATTAACAGATTTTTAATGTGATTCTGCTGTGATTTTAGTCTCTGTAAATTAAACTTACAGGGTTTTCCTGTGAAAACACTTTGTTTACAGTGAGCAGGTCTTTGATGTAACAGTAAATATTAAAACATCATTATCATCATCATAATACATTTTTATTCCAGATAGAAGCAGGCGCCATAGAAAAGGAAAAAAGACAAAAAAACTCATATCAAAAAATAGATAATCTGTCAGTACTTACAATACTCTGATTGAAGGTTTGACAACTGATAGCAGCATGAGAAGAGCCTCCTCTGAAGCAGAGTATTTCTTCAGGTAATACCGCAATTTCTCCCCTGAATCCTGGAGGTTGTTGTTCTCCAGGTCAACCTCTCTCAAACAGCAGGACTTGGAACTAAGAAGTGATAGCAGAACTTCACAAGTTCTCATTGAGAGGTTACAGGATCTAAGTCTGAGAGACAAAATGAAACAAACCAAAGAAGAACAAACAGATGTTATTGGGACATGTCTAAATCAATGAACAGTCAGGACGATTACAGTTTTCTCTAATAAAAATAAAAACTATATATTGAAATTCTTATTTATTTTCTTGTTAAAACCCCTGTAGGACCCTTGTGGTTCAGTGGGGCATTTACCCTTTATACTGATATGGGGCACTTGAGAATCAGGGACCTCAGGTATGAAGGCAAACGCACAAAACTCTTGTGAAGCAATATTTGAAGCATATTTTGCATGTGCAAAAATAAATGTTGCATGAATGTGTTTGAAATTGAATTAATTTATTATTTATTATTTCATCAGACGATAATCAGACTCCTATATATTTTTTGTGAACACATGCCCTAGTGGGTGTGTGTTAGAATAACAAATGAAAGTAGAAATCAAGCTCAAATCATGGTCAGATAATTCTGCACATATATGAAATAAATTCCATTAAGAATATAATTGTTAATAAAAATCCTTCAGCCCAATTCAAACATATTTTGGTTATAAACTCAACTAAATCATGATACTATGTAAAAAAAGAAGGGAAAAAAACATAGTTGAAAACCATAATCAATGAGGTGATGCAGTGATATCACAGTTTTGTCATGATCTGCCCTGATAGCTCACCTAAATTACTCATTGCCTTTCACCTGCTTAACTCTCTCTAGCTCCCAATTATCACACATCTCATCCCCCTGAAGGTTTCCCTCAGTTACAGTTATTAGGGCTGATCGTTTTTTGTTTGCTGTTTGTTTTGCTCCTGGTTTGATTTATGTTAGTGTCATGTCTGTCAGTTTACTTATTTTTAGTTATTTTTAAGGTTCATGTTCCGGTGAGGAGTTTATTCTCTAGCCTGTGTCCTCAGGCGAGTATTCCAAAACCAGTGGTGAGAGCATTTCAGTGTTTCCCTTGTCTTCCTGATTCTGTTCCCTCTTACCCACTGGCCCTGTCTGTCCCTGCCAGATCTGTTTGCCAGTACCACGGTTGGACTCCTCCTGGATTCTAGCTCCCAGGGTGCGTTTCTGTCTGAGCTGGATCCTTGACGCACGGGACTCTGAATCTGCCTTTGTGCTCTGATGGATTCCTGGAACTTGGATCTGTCCGTTCCTGAATGGACTTTACTCTTAAACCAGATAAGTGACTCACTCTAATTATGATCTTCTGTTCAGATGATTGTGGTCCCTTACCTGTGTTTCTCTCTATAGAATCAGTGATGGGTTGCCTCAGCACCTGCAGTGTCTGCAGTCGAAGTTCCACAGCAGCGTGTTTCTGTTCTGTCTGTTTTTGTTTTAAAAATGTTTTGAACTTTTCTACTGGCTGTCTCACCTTGAATACCGGGTCCATCTGTCCTGTTTTCTGACCAGTTTAGCATGGTTTTTGTGTTTAAGGGACCAATATTCATCTTGAAGAATTTGGGATGTGATCAAATTAGCTTTAAACTAATTTAGTGCAATTGGATTGTTTTCATACTACTTAACAATGCAAATCCAAGAGATGAATAAATCTTATTTTGGCCAAATAAAGATTTATTAAATAATTTACTTAATCAGAATGTTATGGTCTTGGTTCTGTTAAGTTTTCATTGAGTTTTTAGTTTCATGTTGATAAATGTTTTTCTTTTCAAGTTTTATTGGTTTAATTCCTATTTTTGTGTTTTTGGATGTATTTGGGTTCTTACGCTTTTCTTTGTTGCCCTCTGTTGTTGTTTTTCCTTTGCCTTAGCTCTTTCCCTAGAAGCCTCAGTTAACACCTGCTCCTAATCAGATCGTTAGTCCTCTCTTTGTTCAGTCTCCCATAAATACTCTCCTTGTGCAGTTCCACAGTGCTGGTTCCTCTTTTTACCTTGTGTCTCTTTGTCTTTCCCTGGTTCCTTGTGCTTGATTTTACCCTGATATCTCTGTGGTTCTGTTTTGTGTATCATTTTAAGTTGGATTTTTGGATTCCTGCCTCTGTTACCTGTGTTAACTATTTAAATATGCAAGAACTAACCCCTGCCTCTGTATCTGAGTCCTCAAACCTCAACCAAACGTTGACACAGAAACCAATAACCTTTAGTTAATTAGTTTTATACCTTCTTTGAGTTAGCTAGCAGCTTAATTATTCCCATTACACAACTTTTGGTCATAATTTGGTAATAAAAATGTAATGAGTGTATGAGAAAACACAAATGTTAACGTTATATCAATTTCTAAACCTTTAGTGAATTAAAGTTTGTTATAGGTTTATAAATAATAGCTCAGATATGTTAGCAAAGTGTACCGCCAGTCGATCTTGTTAGCTTGTCTTTACCCAACAGTAAACACATGAAATGATCAAGAATCTTCATAGAAATAAATTATTTAGCTAGTAACTCTCCCTAACTTGTAACACACATGTACATCTGCCAATTTTCGTTTTGGAAAGCTTGAGTTTTATCCAACATTTAGCAGCTTAGCATGATAAGCTTGCAACAAGACAGTATCCTTTGTTCTAGCCAGGCTGGCAGACATTAGGGAAGCTTTACTGCTCCAGCCTTTTCAAGCCTCTTCAAGCATCTAAAAGTTCTGGAACTCAGAGAAAACTGCTACCAACGGTCTGTTTTGTTGCAAGTCAAATCTGAATGTCAACCATCAGACGTAGCCTTGGTCAGTCTGGAAATCTGGACCTTGGGCACAGGCTTAGCATGCTGGCGCCTCCTCCAGTATGAAGCCCAAGACAGCTTCACAGAGGCCTGGGACAGTGCTTCGTCCTCAAGGCACCATGGGGGACAAAGGCACACTCCTGTGGAAGTGTCTTGTGGTGTTTTCTTGGGGTGGGTGAGGGTTGCAGAAGTTTGAGTGTCCAAATAGCAGGCAAACCTTAATCTACTTAACCCAGTGGTTATCAGTGTTGGGCATGTTACTTCCCAAAAAGTAACTGAGTTACTAACTTAGTTACTCCACAATAAAGGTAACTAGATACTAGTAAAAGTAACTATTGCGTTACTTTTGCGTTTCTCGCCCCCGTAACCCCCTCACCACCCGGCCCCCACGTTCTCGCCGTGTGTTTCAAAAGCCAGCTGAATAGAGTGGACAAAGACAAGTACCTGCAGAAAGTTTTGCACTTATTGCAACTCAACGTAAATGACATCAGGGGGGGAACGCTATCTGATGGGCCTATAAACCCAATCAGATAGTGTTTCCCCTGCTTCACATGGGGGGAACGGTATCTGATGTGGTTTAAATATCATCAGGCTCACACCTACTCATGGGTGTGAAGTTTTTTAACAGGGTGTTCAGATCTGGTGAGTGAATGAAATTATTAACTGGGGATGTCTAATTCTGAAATCCTGTATGTTTGAGATGTTACAGATTATCTATCTATCTATCTATCTATCTATCTATCTATCTATCTATCTATCTATCTATCTATCTATCTATCCATCCATCCATCCATCCATCCATCCATCCATCCAATATTTGATCCTTCACGCTCTCCGTAGTTCCCCTGTGGCGACCTGAGTAACGTGCAGTAACCGGGTGTCGGCAATGGTAACTGCGTTACTGTTCTTACTATACAGTAAGAGTAATAATTTTGATTACTCCTTACTTAAAAAAGGTAAGGGTGTTATGCCGTTACTCCCATCACTGGTTATGTTTACATAAAGCATGGAAATGGGTCCCCATTATCGAAAATCATAATAGTTTATTGCACAAGAATAATAAGTATAAAGCACCAAAACTAATCTAATTAAACAAAATTACAGACACCATTCATCATCATTTAGCTTTTATGAATTAAACCTAATTGATTAAACTGAAATATAGCGGGAAAAAAAAAAAAAAAAAAAAATATATATATATATATATATATATATATATATATATATATATATATATATATACTGTTTTGGTCTACAAATGCACAGCAATCTGAGAGCCATATATTTTCTCAAAAAGTATTTTTTTTTTATTTTACTTAAAAAAGAAATAATGGATGAACAGAATAATTCTACACAATTCAGGTGCGAAGATTGTTAAGAGTTTAACAAGCTGTACGCAATGCACATGTCCATAATGTGTAAAGTGTCATGATCTTGGCACTGATGACTGGTTTTATGGTTCGTTCTATTTACCTGCCTAGCTCAGCAGAGTTTCTCTTTACTGTTCATCTCACCCACATGCTCCTGCCTCTATTTAAATTGCTTGCCCCCAGTCGTCAGTGCCAGATAATTTCAACCATTGGTTAGAGTTTTCTAGCATACCCTCTGTGTTGCTCTGATTGCCTAATCCTGACTAGTTTCTACCTTTGGACCTCTGAGCCTGCCTGACTGTTCTGATCTAATTGCCTGATTTGTCTTCAGACTCCTGCTGAATTCTGCCTGCTTAATATCCTGGATATGTCTCCTGGCCCCGACTTGGACTTCTCTTCAGTACCTCTTCTGATCTCTGGTCTTCTGTCTTGGACACCAATATACTTCATAGCCAACAGCTTTAGCTTCTGGGAAACTCCTGCCTTCCCTCTTCTGCTTGCTTCTGCTCATCAGCCAGTTCAGCAGCCTCCTTGGCTTCAGCTCCTGAAACTCTCTGGGCGGCATTCGCCACATGCTGTGTGAAATCGTCCGGCTGGTTTCCAGTCCTTCCTCTGGGTTCAGATTGAACTTTAAAACCAGAGATTCTGGCCATTTTTGTCCTAGCTGCTGAGTTGCAGAATGAACTTGTTGTCAATAAACTGCATTGTAAATCACATCAGTCTGTCTGCCTGAAATTCTGGGTCACAAGTTCTGAATTTGTGACATAAAGGCTGTATGATAATGGAAGGATAGTAACCTTGGCTCTACTGGAGGACATCATGGGTGGAAGAATGAGAATTGAGTGTATGCTTAGAGATGCCTGTGCAAATTCTTCATCATCGAGATAATGCCAACTGCAAAACAAGCTAAAAGAAGGGGACATTCATCTTTTGTTCAGTTCTCCTAAACGAGAATTGACATTCAGTACTTTTTGTCAGTTCTGTTGGCTTGTCCTAGAAAAATCTGTAGTTGGAGCGATGATGCTTTTAAGCCCTTTGTGGCCCATCCTCTTCAGCTACTGCCAAGTTAGATATAAATCAATTATCCACTTGTTAATTCTGCTAGGTCGCTAGCCTAGTAAACTAGCCACACCCACCAGCAGCCAAAATCATTTTTGTCTGCTAGTGGGTCTAGCTTCTATCAATGCCCCAGGCCCTAGATCTGGTGGGCCAATCACAAAGCAGAGATGTGTTTTGAATTTCTAGATGCAAAGCAGTTGGGGTTTTGAGAGTGGGACGACAAAGCTGCACGACACTGGAGAAAGCACAAAAAGGAAGATGGCAACAACTATTGAACAGTTCTCATTTGACTCAGTTTTGGAATCAGTTTTGGAAGGATTAGACTTGGGGTTTTTCGTTGAAACCTGAGCAGGAAGAGGCTCTACGCTCATTAATTTTTAAGACGGACATATTCTCTGTTTTAAAAACAGGCTGTTTGTTTACACTCCTCCATCAGCTTTCTGTTGTGCTTCCCACGTCTCAGTCAGTTGCGCTCATTGGTCAGAGCGTTGGCCAATATGTACAGACATGGTTTGAAAACAATAGGCTGTTCTCATCAACAATCTTCCAATGTCTCATTTATCGGGGGCAGACTCAATTACACATTTAATCTCACTATTAGTCTGGTTTATCAGGCTACTGGGTCGTTGGAGTTTGACGGTTTTCTGTTTGGCCATGATGAGGCTATTAATTTGTGGAATTTTTATTCTGTTTAATTCTAAATCTATGACTTTAATAGAAACACTTCTGTTGATGTGTCTTATGATTGCTTTCCAGTTTGAGATCATATTTCATGTAATCAAGACAGTTAAAAGTGTGTAGATCCCAATTTTCCTCCAGTGCCAGCAATGTTTAGATTCAGCTTGATGTTGTTTTGGGTGAGAAGTTCAATCAAATGCCCAACTATGTAAATTATTTCTGTTAAAAAAGCCAATATTCTCATTGAGCTGTAGTTCGTTTCACCTTTCCCCTCATCTGAAACTTCATCAGTAGAATTTTGTGAGTGGAGAACTGCTGGAGTTATTATGATTTCTGTTTTTTTTATTATTTTATTCATTTATATGTTTTATATTGCTCTCAATCATTTGTTTTTCTATATGTTACTCTCATCATTGGAAAGAGTGTATGGAGGTCATAAGACTGTCAAATGTTTTGTAAGAATGCTTTCCTGTTTTTCATTTGAGAAGCAGAGAAGTGAAAAGTCATAACTCCGACACCTTGTGTAAAGCATATACTGAAACCAGGCAAGTTCCCTATCTTAAAAGTTCATGCTACGTCTAAGAGACTGCATAATCGAAACTAACGCCTGCTGTTGTAATGTGTTGACTGCTCAATAAAAAGCCTGGCAAGTGTTTAGCCAAGAGGAGATGCAGAGATTGAGGCCCCGTCCACACGAAGTCAAACCCTGGCCTAAACGCACAAATTTTTCACCAAACCAGCCTCTCATCCATACGAAGCCGGCGTTTCGGGGGTCTGTAAACAATCTTTTTTTTATTAAGCCTTGAGTGGGAAGATTTTGAAACGCTTTTTTCGCGGTTTCACCTTTAAGCTCTAACCGCATTTTTTTTTTTACACGCATGCGTCATAGCGTCGCCTCTAAACACGCATGCGCGACACAGTATCACAACAACAATGGCGCCGTACTGTGTTGAATGGTTGCTGCTCATGCTACTCACCCTGCTGTCGGGCTTACAACAGAATCTTCTTCTTCTGGAATATCTCCAGGAAGAACAGAGCAATATCGACGACATAGTTCAGCACCTGAAATTGAATGAACCACGACAATGGACCCGCAGGGGTTTTCCGGTTTGGTTGTTGTATAAATATTACTGCGCATGCCCAACATTTCGTTGCATGTTTTCGCCTATTTTTGCTCTGGCACCACAGCGCCACTTACAGGCCTGGCATACATTTTGCAGCGTTTTCATGCATTCGTGTGGTCGATCACATTTATTTTACGTCTCCGTCTTTACGACAAACGTTCTGGAAAATATTAGCGTTTCATGTTCTTTTTGACTTCGTGTGGACGGGGCCTGATAGTTCAACTCTGGACTCCCCTTTGCAAAGCATTTCAAGAAAAAATCTTACACTGTCTTTGTTTCATTTTTTATAGGTTAAAGTTGGGGAAACTTAACAACCCTAACAATAACCTGTTATATTTTTCTGTAACTTCATGAAGTTGAAGTAAAAAACATTGTAGTGGTCACAAAATTCAGCACAAAAATATTCAACATATATTTGGTTATAAAGCAAAGCCTCAAATGTGTCCTGGACAGATGTTCAGACCTGAGAGTTTCCAGTTTGCAGTTTGGATTCTTCAGTCCAGAAGACAGGAGCTTCACTCCAGAATCATGCAGCTTGTTGTTGCTCAGGTCCATCTCTCTCAGATTAGAGGACTGGGAGCTGAGAACTGAGGCCAGAACTTCACAGCTTCTTGCAGAGAGGTTACAGTCATTCAGTCTGAAGGGAGAGATATAAAAATGAATAAAAACATGTCTGATGAATTAAAAATTCAAACTTATATATAATTAAACTGAGAAGCTCATAGAAATCCAATGCAGGTCAAAACCCCAAATCAGAACATATGTGGTTTGGACAAATGTCTACGCTCAATGACCTAGTTAAACTCAGAATTATGTTTTACCCGTACAGACTGACCTGTAAAAAAACGAACTCTGCTGTTTTAGATAATATCTTGTATATATTTATAAATAGTGGAACTAATTAATTGATCAGTATGAACCAGTGTGAATCTGGTATGACATATGTTTCCCCTTTTGTATTTACAATGACTGATGTAAGCAGAAATAGTCAATGTTTGTATATATATATATATATATATATATATATATATATATATATATATATATATATATATATATATATATATATATATATATATATATATATAAACTTAATTATCATAAAACTGGTTACAAATCATCAATAAGGCAGACATTGTAATTTTAATTCCTAGGAAGACTGGCAGAGAGCTGAGAGCAAACTATGACGAGAGGGACTCACATCCCTTTTTAAGCCAGTATATGTCCAGGCCCATTTGAGGTTTGGGAAAGAGTACATAGATTATCCAGAAGAGGATTCAGAGAAAACCATGTGGTCAGATGAAACCAAAAAATAATTTTTTTGTACAAACTCAACTACTTTTTGAAGGAAGAAGAATGTTGGGTGGCATCCCAAGAACAGGGGTGAAAACATGCTTTGTGTTTTCTGCAAAGGAGAACAGGGTGAAAGTTTCCATAAACTGTGGTCTGTTTGTCAGGTAATTTTTGATCCAGGTAATTGTTAATGTCTCCACCTGAGTCTTCTTGAGTTTTTCACAAGTAAGTCAGATGGAAGTGTATTATTGAGCCTAGGGCAAAGTTCAATTGAAGAAACTGAACACTCGCTCCTGAATGCTCTCCACGAAAGCCAATCGGCATCCAAAGTTTATCTTAAAAGGCATCAGATCCGCAACTTGTATGCTACCAGGTGGTGGTTGCACTGTGTGACTTCATTGAGTTTACACAGTTTCAACTCGAAGTGAGCTTCGGATCCTCCGCCATCCCATCCTATCCTCTGACACACGTGTTGATCCATGCAGTGCTGCTGAGATTCGAGGTTCCGCCATGCCCTGTGCTGTGCAGAAATGTTGTCTCCAAACATTTCTGTGTTTCAGCCATCAGCAGTCAGCTGGCTCGCTCTGCGTTCAGCTCGCAGACACTGATTCTCTTCAGGTGACATGTATTCCGTCAAGGCTCCAGTGTTTCCTCATTCATAGCTATAGCTCTTTCTTCTCCATTAAAAACACTTCACACACATGCTTTTCAGCTCACAGCTCATCGTTAATTAACATCAGTCCTCTTATATTTTGGCTTCAAGCTGGGTTTTGTAAAATATTCCCAGTTAATTATGTCTTGACGATTTAATCAGTTACCCTGTAGGAAGCTTACGTGTCCGCTACGTCTATCATTGTGTTAGTGATTATGTAGCCCACTGCATTCATTAATCTTTGCTTCTAGTTTCAGATCATCACCAATTGGATGTCTCAACGCCAGCACAGTCACAGGCATTCCCTCAGCGCATTGTTTCTATCTGAATCTCCTTCACGTTAGACAAGTTTCATTGCGGCTGGCACCCTATGGCACCATCCATCCATTGCAATAAGTGCCTTATGGCATTTACTCTCCTCACTGCAGGTGTTATGATGCCCTCTATAATCCCGGCGGGTGGTTATGGTGCTGTTTTCCCATCGCTGCAGGTGCTTATGGTGCCTTTTCCCATCGCTGCAGGTGCTCATGATGCCCTCCATCCATAGCGGTGGCGCTTATAGCACCACTCTTTCCATCAGTACAGGCGCTCATGGCACCCTTTCTATCACTGCAGGTACTATGGTGCTTTCTATTGCACGGCGCTTCATGGTGCCCTTATGGCACCCCTTTTTTCCATCGCTACAAGTACTCATGGTGCCCTCCATCCATGGCTGCATACGCCTCATGGTGCATTATATCTGTTGCTTATGTGCCCTCCATTCAGTACTGCATGCGATTATGTTGCTGTCCAAAATTGCGGTGAGCGCTTTATGGCACCTTCCATCTTTTGTGGAGAGCCTCATCGCAACTTCCACCTTTGCGGCGGGCACCTCATGACACCTTCCATCTTTGCGGCAGGTGCCTCATGGCGCCTATTATTGTGGGTGCTTATGGCACCAGAATCATGGCAGGTACTTCATGCCATATTATAGCATCGCTGCAGGCGATCATGGCGCCCTACACCCATTGTAGCAGACGCATCCCTCTTTTATCCCATTGCGGTATAATTTCATGACACCCTCACTTCTAACCCCTTGGGACATCATTGCAAACGTATCTCAACTGAAACATCACTCTTAACTATTGCGGCTTGCTCGTTTTTTTTTTTCTTGTGTCATCACGGCTTGTGGGCTAGCCTAGATCATTGCATCCCCATCTCGCTTTCTTAGCTCATCGTGGCTTGCCTATAATATCCACAGCTCATCGCTACACGTGTGTGTGTGTGTGTTCTCTGCTCGCACCCTCAGCTTATCACTACGTAGAGCTCATCTATGGTTGTGGCGGGCCAGAGCACTCAACCTCAGCCTATCATTGCAGTTATCACCGCAGTCATCATTGCATCGTTATTTTCAACCCTCAGTATCTCCTTGCTTGGTCAGTCAAATTTGTGCATTATCTCAAGCAGCGCTCTTTTATTGCAGGCTGCTTCTTCTGGCTAATTTCATTTCCTTCCTCCTTCTCCAGGTTCACTGTTTAGGGGCAGCCCTCTGACTTTTCTTTTTGGTCTAGACCAGTGTTTTTCAACGCTGGTCCTCAAGGCACACTGCCCTGCATGTTTTAGATATTTCCCAGATTTCACATGCGTTATCAATTGATAGCAGATTATCAGGCTTTGCTGAACTGCAATCATCTGAATCAGGTGTGCTGAACCTCAGAAACATCCAAAACATGCAGAGCAGTGTGCCTTGAAGACCAGGGTTGAAAAACACTGGTCTAGACTGCTTCTCGATTAGATCAGCTATCTTTTCTACTATCACATCATTCTGTCTGCAGCCATGCTTCATTTTTACGGTGATTCCCCATCCATAGGTTTCAGGGGGGTTCTTTCAAATAGTTGGTTCACAGTTCATGGCCTGGTCCCCCTCATCAATTCTAATTCTCTGTTCTGTGAGGTTTACCCATTAGCTTTAGCTTGCGTCGTCGGGCCATTCATTAAGAATGGAGCTTGACTTTTCGAAGCAACGGGGCTTCAACCATCATGCCAGATGGTTGTTATACCAGGCTCCCTACTATCATTCATTGCCTCATTCACCCCAGCAATCATCCCAGCAACCATCCCAGCATTTATCCCATCACCATTCACCTCACTTCACCTCACCTCACCATCCCTTCGCAAACTTTTGGTAGGCCTTTGCAGCAACTGGCCCTCTCTTTGTAGGCCTTTGCAGCAACTATCCCTGTCCCTCTTTAGGTAAGCCTTTGTGGCACTGGTCTTACCTAACCCTATTCTTTACTCCTGTTCATGCATATCTATTAAAATTCATAGCTATGTTTCCTGTCGAGTCTGAGCGCCAAAGACCAAATAATTGTATCAATAAGTTTCTTCTAATTGTCATTTCTCTTCGAGTGAGTTTTTCAGATTGAAATGGAGCCTAGGCTGAAATTCAACAGAAGAAACTGATAGCTCGCCTACATCCACATACGACACAGGCAATCAGGTTTGAACCACACCTCCACGAAACACCCGGATATGTCCCTTCCTGAGTGGATCAGAACACCGACCAGACTCCGGACTCCTGGATTCCAGTACTACTCCGGTCTGATCTGAACCTGTCCTGGACTGGACTCCAACCTGCACACTGGGGTTGCTGCATCGGGAACTCTGTGGATGGCTCAGGGCCACCTCTCATTGGCAGTGCATCGCCTTATCCTGCCTATGTTGGAGAGGATGGACTGAACTGTTAAACTAGGTAAAGGACTCACTCTAATCATCTCCTATTCAGATGATTGTGGTCACTTACGTGTGTTTCTCCCTAAACCTAAGAGTGTCAGTGATTGGGCAGTGCCCTGCCCCCCTCGTGCAGCTGCCAGATCCACAGCAGCCTGCTTTGTTTCTGTTCTGTTTTGTGTTTTTAAAATAAATGTTTTGAACTTTCCTACTGGCTTTCTCACCTTGAATACTGGGTCCATCTGTCCCGCTTTATGACACATTGCTACCGGAGTCTTGCTGCGCTTACGCAGTCCACTTGGTCTCCCCATAAAACTCAGCCTACTATCTCCCTAACCAGCAGTCTACAGACTGACTACACTCCTGGAGATGGGTGGTGGCCCCACCACAACACTTACAATGACTAAGCAGGAGAAAATTGATCGATGGATGGACAGAAACACGAGTTTACCAATAAAGGTTCAGATCATCCAATTGGAATTGATCTAATGGGCATATGACAGACAATCAAATGTGATTTATGAAGTCTTCTTATTTGATCCAGTAAATGGGTAGTCATGCTAGGATATTCCTAGCCTCCTGGCCACCGGAGTAGCATTTCATATGTTAACTAGAGTTGTTAACACCTCCTAGCTAGCAGCTCCATTGACCCCACTTCCTCCCTGACCCATAATGTCTGTTATCAGCTGTTCCCAGCATAAAATGACTTCCCATTTGCACAAAGCAGTGGGATTTAAGGCACTTTAAGAATTTAAAAAAGACAACATTTCCTGTAGTGGAATATAATTTTCTCAAATTTACATCATTGTTTCTCTTGTTTAGCTTATGTTCAGCAGCTCTTGACTGACATCTCAGGCACTGAGATTCACCATATAACTGTCAGCAACCAAGCTCTTGCTTTTCTAAACCTAAGAATTAAGAAGGAAAATAGTCAGAGACTAAAGGCCTGAGATTTAATACATTACTGCTTGAAGATGTAGATT